GGAGGAAGGTCTAGAGGCAGTGGGTGGATCTGAGGAGTGGCTGGCTTTTATTTTTGAGGGATCCTGGCCAATCCGCAACAGGAGGCTTGGCAAGGGGCTAGGGTAACCCTTAAAAGTAAGTAAGCCTGCTCAGCTGTGGGGAGTGTTTGGGTGGAATACAGTGAGGAAGATGTGAGGCTGAAGGCAGAAGCCTGGCAGGGGGCCCAGATGGATAGAGGTGCCCATCTACAGGCAGCAGATCTGGAATGGAAGACAGGTCAGAACTTCAATGGCCCCCGGAGCGAGGACCACCGGTACACTTTTATACAAGCCAGCACATGGAACAAGCCTGCCGTTTAGTTACACAAAGCCACAGGATTTCATTGTGCGCCATTAGGACCTTCTATCCGCCACGTCCTGACAACCAGATATTTATTTATTTATCATCATCAGTTGATAAGGAGGATGTCAGTTGCCTGCACAGGCATCCTTGTTTGATCCTCCCCTGTCCCTCTCCATCAGCACTTGGGTCACGTTAGCTCAGTGATGGAGAAAAGAAACATTGGAATACTAGTCAGGACTGGTGTGCAAAGGTGTATTTGCTTTAGAAGAATAAATCACCTCTAAAGTTGGGTGTCCTATGTGTGTGGATGTTGCTGTGTTATATAAAACTATTAGAATATTAGAAGAAAAAGTTGAGAAATAATGACATAACTATTACTGAAAAGAAGCTCTCTCATCATGCTCTGAACTTGTACAAACAATCTTGGCTTTCTTGTTACTGCAGGACAATGGAGATTTTCAAAAGATTTCTTTGTTTCTTTTTTTTTTAAGTGTGTACTCCTTACCTTACATTTCTAAAACATAGCCTAAAACAGTGGGAAATGACAAAAAAAAAAAGGAATTTACTTTAATGCCCTTAGCAAAAACAATCTTCCCCTAAATCTAATCATGTTTGGAAGTGAGTGCAGACTTTGTATGGAACAGTGTAGCAGTCTTCCTCTAATTTGTCTGTTAAAAAATATAGCCCTTTAGAAGCGTATAGTGGAACATTGTGCCAATAAGTAATCAAGAAGGTTCCAAAGAATGAAAGAGCCAATAAAATAAAGAGATGTGCTAACTGCAGCATTGGGTTGTCCCATCATCCTGCAATCTAACAACTATATACAGTATATTCTCCATAACAATCAGTCATTGTGTACTTAGATACTTCATAATAGTGAAGTATAAGAAGAAATGCAAACGTCAACGAAGCATCTAAATGAAGAGGGTACCTGCTGTGAGATGCAGAGACAGAAGACCCATATTTTTAACTATTTCTAATACATTGGGATGACAAGTTCCCCATTTTCTTGGTAAGGGGCAGAAATGAGGGGGTGGGTAGGCTGCATGCAGGCATCACACACACCCCTACAACTTACTGGGTTTCCTTCCAGTGCATGTTAAAGCGATAATAAACCCAGAAGCAAAAATGTAATATATAGCAGTTTACCAGTCGATATATGTGATGGCTGTATTAGTTTTCCCTTTTTAAGCTGTTTTCACCTGATGATTTGGCCAGTAACACACCTCCTATATTAGAAAGCCCCCCGCTGTGGATGAAGGAGCACAGGGGTACCTCTGTACAGCAGGATTGTCAGACTGGGGGGAGGGCAGTGTTATGTATACTAAGATTTAAATGCACTAACAACTTGGATCCAAACTCCAGCTCACATAGCAGTCACACGAGCAGTTAAAGCAACAGTTTTTTTTTCTTTTGGGATAAAGTCTGATAAAAGCCGATCATTGTAAGCACCCCTGTCAATGGTAAATGGTTTGTCTCAACCCTCTAACTGCTGCAGCTTGTTTTATTGAAAAACAACAGACTTACAGACCAGATCACCAGGTGAACACAAGGAAAAAGAAATCACATCTAAGAATTCGTAAGCCACAATATAATAAATGTTTTCTTTTGGGTTCAATGCTGCTTTGAATAGCAAACAGGCAAAATCTGGTATTCTTCCTGCCTTCCAGCCTTGAGTATTCCGGGCTATATTCCTTGTGTGCAGGCTGCTGTCTTTCTTAGGGAGTCCATTTCTTTTTATTATCTATTTTTATATGCTGCAATTTAGAAAAAAAAAACACTTTATCAAAGGAAATCTATGGTTACACAATACACTTTCATTTTAAAACATCAGCAATGTAATAACAATACAAACAATAGTAATATTTGACTATGAAATATAAGCATACTTGAAAAATCCCCTTTCATGTTGTGAGCGCTGCCTGTCTGTTGGCTGTCTCATTCCACAACTTCCTGGATTCTTTGCATGCTTTGCAGCTTCTCCTCTGCCTGCAAAGTACCATGGGATATGTAGTCCTTAGAAATGGAAAGTAAACAGCAAACAGTTAAAGCAGAACTCCGGGCAAGCACTTCTTTACATGTCCATGTTGCTGATTTTTTACCTTCACTGAGTATGTCATCCATCTCCTGGTTCACTCAGTAGTTGCTCTGAAATTGCCTAATTATTTTTAAATCAAACCATTACTTCTCTTCGGTTTTCTGTTTGTAAGACCTGTGGCTGCTATGCCTCCTATACCCCCAGCCACTGGTCTTGGCACACCCCTTCTGTAGTTCTTTCTCCAGGAAGCTGTGATGTAATTCAGCCCCACTTGCAGTGGAGGGCGGGCTGAGGCTCTCAGACCCATTCAATATGTACAGGCCTAGTGTACCCGCCCACATTCACTACAATTTCCTGTGGTTGATGGGAGCTGTAGTTTCCTTTTACTGCAGAGAGAGAGGAGAGGATGTGAAGTAATCCTTGCTGTTACAGCTCCCCCCTGGGCAGAGCAGATGCTGTTATCTTTTGAATTACAGAGATGAGGTCAATTTTATTCTAAACAGTAAGTTCAAAATTGTATTAACCGTTTAGTGTTTTGTGTGGGAAGGTGTACTAATGGGTGCTTTTTTGCCTATCCCGGAGTTCTTCTTTAAAGTCTGTCTGCAAGCAATGAACCAGGGGGTTTCACCCCCTTCATGACCAGGTCAGTTTTTGCTATTCAGCACTGCACTACTTTAACTGGCAATTGCACAATCATGCAGCACTGTACCCAAATGAAATGTATATAATTTTGTTTCACACAGATAGAGCTTTCTATTGGTGGTATTTGATCACCACTGGATTTTTTATTTTTCATTATATAATTGAAAAAATATGGAAAATGTTATAAAACAAAATATATTTTATATTTTCTGTTATAAAACGTATCTAATAAAATCAAATTTCTTCATAAAGTTAGGCCAAAATGTATTCTGCTACAAGCCTTTGGAAAAAAAAATCCCAATAAATGTATATTAATTAGTTTGTGTCATAGCTATAGCTACAAATGATGGTGTATATATATTGGAATTTTATTCAGCTATCGATGCTATACTGGTAATGGTGGTGATCAGCGACTTATAGTGTGACTGTGATAATGTGGGGGGGGGGGGGGGGGGGGGGGCAATCTGGTGCTAACCGACAATGGCAGGGAGGGACACTTAACTGACTAACTGACACTGATGTTGCTAATGACAATATTAGAGTGATCAGTGATAATACTGCTCACTGTGCACAGTACTGCACAGTAATAGTGGCAATAATGGGTGATGTGGGGATCAGATGGGGAAATAAATGGGTTAACTGTGTGCCTAACAAGTGTATGTATGCTGCTTTTACTCACATGATCTGGCTGTCTATTCTGTGAATTCAGAGCTGATTTCAGGGAGAAGAAACAGCCAGATCGCTGTTCTGTGTGTTTGTAAGCACATAACTCTGTGTGTGCTGTCATTGGGCACAGTCGATCAGTAGGTATACAGCCAAAATCATTGACTGCAACCTGCTGACAAACTGATGCTGTGTCCAATCACAGCACAGGTTAACAGGGGACACATGCGTGCGCGCCCAAAAACCAGGAAATTCACCATGACATATGGGCATGTTGGAGTGCCTGGCTGTGCTGCCCACTAGCAGTAAATGTATTGTTAGCGAGCAGCAAGTGGTTAAAGTCAGAGTAAAATCCCAACTCCAGATACTTGTTCTGGGTCAGTGACTCAGAAATTATTTATAGTGGAAGAAGCTGCCGAGAAGATGTCGGCATCAGTGAAGGACCTTGTAGATGTCGGACCATTGGAGCTAGGGTAAGGATTTAGCCGTTTAGTTCTGCTTTAAGCCCATGGATTAGAATGATAGTCAGACACCTAGCATTTTCAGATTGAAAGGGCAACAACGGCAGCTTATATACAGTATTTCTTAGTACATTTCCTAAAAAAAATTAAGTAGTAGTAATAATAATAATAATAAATATTTTTTTTAGTAGTAGTAGTAGTAGTAGTGGTGGTAGTTGAAATATGATGTTCTTGTTGTTAATTACAATAATACAAATAATAATAATATTATTAATAATAGTAATGTTCTCTGCTACAGGGAAAACATTCACCTTGATTATTGTAAAACAACACCAAAAGAAAGAAAAATTGTCGTCATTTACACAAAATAATAAAGCCCTCATTTACTGTCTGTCAACTGAAAAAAAATATAGCTCTACCTGCGTCAGAGATTGGGTCTATTTCAGTAAATGGAAAGCATATGGCAATTTGTGAAATATAGTAAATCTCTTAATCTGCAGAGGGCGAAAAAACATTTACTTCTGGCTATCTCAATAGGATTCTTTGCTGTTATTCCAGCATAGAAAAAAAAAGCTCACTTTTGCTAATGTTATTTTAAAACAGAGCTAACAATTCTCCAGTCTAGCTAGTGATGATGTAAACGATGTTAGCTTGCAGTAATTTGTACATATCGCAATGTCTCACAGACCAAATTCATCATTTTTTATTCTTTTATAAAAGTATTGCGAAAGTGACATTTATTAAGGCAGAGCTATAAGCAATGATGATGTACAAAGTGCTTCAAGCAACAGTAATCAGATTTCATCTTTCATCAGTTGGAATACATCAAGAGAAAGAAAGAAGGATATGATTTATTTGTAGGGGTTAAAATGACACTGGGACATCAAAACAAAATTTAAGGGGTATGCTCAAGCATTATCCAAGACTGTAGCCCAATTTCTTGATGGGGCTGCAAGGCCACCAATTATAGGACATTGTGCCACCATGGAAGGGTATATAATATGGTACCATCTGATCAGGGGCGGACTGACAACTCACGGGGTCCCTGGGCAATAAGGGATCATGGGGCCCCTGTGTCCTTGCCCACACTCAAACCACACCCAAAAAATCCTATGAAAGGTACCAGGAGCATCTCATGGGACCCCTTACTGACCCCCGGCCCTCGGGCAGAGCCCGGGTTCCTGAATGGTCAGTCCGCCCCTGCATCTGATAATGACCCTAAATCATAAACCTCCCATTCTTTTTCTAGATTCTGTCCCAGCACACTTCATGTCTTTTACCTTGTTTCCGTAGTGACAAACAGCTTCTATTACTCCTTGTAACATCATTGCCATGCAATTCCTTTAGACTCAGACACTCCCCCAGAACTACACATAATGTGTGGGCATGCTCTTGGGAGTCAATTCAGCAGCATGTGAGGAGAGACCGAGAGGGGTAGAAATAGGCAGGACTGACAACATTGTTTTGGTTTTCAGAGTAGGAATGGCACTGTGTTGTCAGCCCAAATACTAAATTATGAACACACTGGATTTCTGGCAGATCAAGTGGTATTTTTCTGTATTTGCAGTGTTTTTATAGGGCAAAATATAAAGAGATGTTTATGTATTGCAGAGATGTATTTAATGTTTTTTTAATTTTGTATTTTGCCCTGGCATACTTTAACCTCTTGCCAAATGCATATAAATAAATATGGTGGCAAGAAAGGTGAACTTTACTGCCCAATCACTGCACGTATGTGCTCCAGGATGTTGTGTGCTGAGTAGGGAGCCATTTATTGGGCATTCACTGCAATTACATCCTTTGATGCATATTTGTCAATAAAGAACAGGAAGTGACTCAAGCTTGTTAGGAATAAAGATTTCCCATCCACCACTGCACTCCCACTTTAGCTTCCAGAAGAACACACCAGTGATGGGCTCCTTTCTTCCTTTGATACACATATGCCTGTAAGTTCATTTGTTGTGTTTGCTAACGTAACTTATATTTCTAGATATGTATTTAATGTGATTTGTAGGCAGCTGTTTGCAAGAAATGTGTTCATTGTAAGCATTTGTGAGAGACAAATCTACAAGCATATTGTAACAGTTTATTTAATTGCATTGCAGTTGTACAGAACTATTCACAGAAGTAAATTCAGTTTTGGATTGAACACAACAGTGCTTCTGTCAGTTTTGTTAGCTAGCTGTCGGCTAACCGTTAGTAGGACAGCATACACTGACTGAGCTGTCACTGACAACTCTCATTCAAGGCTTCTGATCAGGATCCAGCAGGATGGGCTCCTGATCATGTTTTCTATGAGAGCCAATCACAGGAGACACACGCTACAGAAGGCATTAAAGCCTACTTAAAGGGCCACCATGAGGTTCTGTTAAAAGGTTAATGCATCCCTAGAAAAAAAGAAGAAACTAGTGTCACCTGATCATGTAACAGGAAGGTAGGAGTTAATGCTTTTTCTGGTTCTTTAGCTTTTGATGGTATCTCTGGGTCCGGCTCACTGCACCTGTGCATATAAATGGGGACAGTGGGCCAAGCCTGAAGTATTAAGAAAAAGAGAGGAAGGCGCCTCTAAGTGCAGTATTAACAATTTATTAGTAGACAATGGAAAATTTGCACTTACAAGATAAATGGTTAAAAAGACTCACCGTGTGGTAATTGGATCCAGGTGGGACATCCAGCCGTCCAGCAGCAAGCTATGCCTATAGGATCAGAAAGTAGAGTCCAGGATGTGCCTGTGCATCACGATGAGTCTTTTTTAACCGTTTATCTTGTAAGTGCAAATTTTCCATTGTCTACTAATAAATTGTTAATACTGCACTTAGAGGCGCCTTCCTCTCTTTTTCTTGTTACTGCATTAGAGCCTTGCTTCCACTCTAAGAAGAGCTGCCTCAGTGTTACTGCTTCCATCCATCCATCCCCGACATCCATATGGCACCTTTATCTTACAGCTACAGAGGTTGGGCTCCAACAAGAGCGCCCTATATAATATGCATTTTCAAGCCTGAAGTATTGAAGTGGGAAGTTTGAGAGTTTTTCTGCTTTATCAAGCATAGCTCCTGGTTCCCAGAGGAAGAGCCGGATCCGGAAGCAGTACAGAATGCCACTTGCTACTTGGATGTAAAGTCATCTGAACCTAGGGTTCACCCTGAAAACACCAGCACTTGAGCATGCCTCTGAAGGACTGTAACTAATGGACTACACCTTTGCAGGTAGGGATGTACTGATATATCGGTGGCGGAAATGTATTGGCCGAAAATAGTGTTATAGCCATCGTAAAAAAAGGTGCCTCTCATGTGACCCTTGCTTGGCACTCAATCAGGAAGGAAACATGGAGGACATGACAAACTATCACCCCCCCTACCCTTATATTCAGGCTATTGAGCACTGGTTACTTCCAGGAGTGTCGAATGTCTATCATTGGCACATGGCGGTTTCTTCCTCTGACTCCTTCATCACTGCAAGATGCAATACATGAAATGCTGACCTACAGGTCAGTGGAAGAAACTTCAGAGTACAGAGCGACACAGAAGCATCTGACATAGGTTAAAGTAAATCCATCACAATAATGGACATTTCTAATATGATGAAAAAATAGCCAACAATTACCTTCAGGGAACCTGTTGGGTTTCCCTTTCCTTTCCCATGCCTCCCTCCTCCAGGATCTTGGACCCATCATCCCTGGAGAATAACTCTCACACAGTAGCAATTTAGCATGCACATTATGTCAGGCTCTCACCCAAGCCACATTAAATTTAGTCCCTCTATAAGTAACAAATCAGATATCATTTCCATATGCAACATGCTAAACAAAGATGGAAACATCCCCAATTTTTAACAAGCTTTGATTCTAGGTTCACTTATACGTGTGCATGCACTTTGTGGGTACAGCAGCCCATTCAGCAGCAGCAAGCAGTCTCAAGTGGGTGAAAAAACACAAGAATTAATGGAATTAATGGCACCATTGTGTGTCTGCTAAAGAGTAGTGCATTTATGCACAAGTTGGGAACTGCAAGTGACTCAAAAAACGCACAAGAAACGTATTGTGGTGCATTTTTCATGCATCTCTATGAACTATAATGGAAGGATTTTTGGTGAAATTTTAAAAGAGGGCTGTGAATATGCAGCAAGCTGTACTTTATAAAAGAGCATCACACTTTAAAAATGCATCGCAGAGATATGAAAAAATGGAATTTAAAGGGAACGTTTTTTCATGCACTTTTGTCATGCTGGAAAGGTGTCTGCGTGGTAAAAACGGACCAGTGTGAACAGGGCCTAACTCCATCTTTCCTTTCACTTTGTTTGTTTGGATCAAGCTGCCCCAAACCAACTATTTCCATTACTAAAAGATGTGCCCACTGTCAATGCTATACAAACTGTATAGAGCATCAGCATCAGCTACACACAATATACAGCTCTGTGTTCTAGCAGCATTGTGGGGACTTCTTGTTTGCTACAGTATTTGCAGCTGCTGACTTTCATTTTTTTTGGGGGGGGGGGGGACTGAAGATCCTCTTTAAGTTATCACATGCAACATCGCTTGTGTGTAATAATGTCTCATGTGCTTCCCTTGTGATGTTTACACCCAATTCATGAAACACTTTTATCAAATGGAAAAAAGTTTAAGTGTTGCTAAACCCACAACAGTAAAATCAGCCTCTATATGCAGTAAAGCATGCTTGTTGTACTCACTGTGGAACCTAAGGGGTTAATCCTTGACATTGTGTAAAAAGGCTGTTTGATCCTGTCTTCTCTGATCTTCCCCTTCTTCCACAGTCCCCAATCCATCTGCTATAGTACAGAACTCTAGGAAGCACTCTGCACATGCTCAGTTTAATGTGTATTTCTAGAAAGTTGTTTTTTTTTTTGGGAGGGGGAGGATGCATGTGATCAGCACAGGGACAATCAGCACTGTCCAGACAGAGGGTCAGAGGTCATGCAGCCTCATAGGACTGTCAGAGGAGAATGAAAACTCCTACAAGATTAACCTGTGCATGGCCTGACACTGATAGAAGTCACAAGACTGCTATATATTGCTGAGGAGAAAAGGTATTTATCAGCTTATATTTACTGAAAAAATTACATTTCCATGTTGTTTGTACTGTGGGAGACCAGATATAGCGAATGCAGGGTCCTGGGTTTAATAACACATTAATTGTTTCTTGTTATGCAGTATCTCACTGAATTCACATTCTCCTGTGGTTTATTTTGAGCAGTGACTTCACTTTGCCACTGCAGACTCTTCAGTTACTTCATTTACAGACCCAGAACAGTAGGCCGTCATGACTGAAAGAGGTACCCTGCCAGAGTTTGTGAGAACATATTAGGAATAAAACGGTTAATTTACATATTGGTGGCCACAGAAATGATGACCTACTGGTCAACAGGGAATGACAGGGCCACATTACCACTATAAGTGGGGGCTAAAAACCAAATATGACATTCCCCTTTATTGTGAACATTTGATGTTATTGGCTATCTGCAGGCCTCCCCATCCTCCATGCAAAAAGTGTTTTTGAAAAGAACACCTTAGGAGAAAGATATTTCAGGTTCAGACTTCTGTCATGTTACTCTAGGTCAGGGGTCTCCAATGTTTCTAAGCAAAGGGACAATTTACTGGCCTTCAGGTGTTTACTGGGGCCAGACTGTGGCTAGTTGGTTTTATTGGGAGAAATAGTGCCCCATTGATGGTATCAGTAGGGCGAATGGTGACCCATCATTGGTGTCACTTGGTGGGCTAGTGCCCCAAGGGCTAGATAAAGGCAAATAAAGGGCCACATCCTTCACAAACTAAGGATTCCATTTTTTTACAAGAACATGGTCTTTCATAGTACAGGGAATGCTGTAACGGTGGGTTTAAGGTGGTAAGGGGTAATCTTTAATAAGATCCTTTCACTTTGCCCTTTATTGGCAAGGTGACAGGGTCTCTTATAAATTAACAATAAGCACCAGTACTTTAGGAGCTGTCCAGTGCTGATCTTGTGCCATTACAGGGTGAACACTGAATTCTCAACTGAGTACTGTCTGTGATACTTTTTTGGTTTAGCCTACCCTAACCATTTGAAGACCAGCATGCTAAACCCTCTTCCTGTTAAGGCCATTTTTCAGTTTTCAGTTATTTTATATCATTTTTAAGACAGAGCTTTCTTTTTGTGGTATTTAATCATCAATAAATAAATAATAATATTGCTTCAGAAATGTAGGTTAAAACATATTCTGCTACATCTTGCAAAACAGGAACACTATTGCGGGCTGAACTTTTCTGGTGATACTGAGACGGATGTGGAGGTGATCAGGGGCATTGTGGCTGACTGCACTAGTCTGGGGACATTGTACTGGTGTGGTGGCGATCAGGGACACAGTGGTTGGCAGCACTGGTATGGTGACACTCTGACTGGTCACTAGCCACCACAGTACAATGTCACCATAATAATTCCACCAGCCAGTGTTCCTGATCGCTAGCCACCTCAGTACAGTGTCACCATACCAGTGCATCCAGCCAATGATTCTAAATGATAGTCACCCAAGTACAGTGTCACAACACCAGTACAGTATGGGCTGAAGCTCAAACCCATCTATTCAAACATAGGATCGAGTATCTAGAGCACATCATTTTCAAGTAAGGTGTGCTCTCCAACCCAAATAAGCTCAATGCCATAGTAGAGTGGAAGCCTCCAGTGCCTTCTTGAAGCAGCAGCTAATGTTGGTCTCTGTACCAGCCTTTGTTGACTTCTCCCTCCCATTCCAGCTAAGAATTGATGCCTGGGGGCTGTGCTCTCACAAGTACACAACAGTCAGGAGAGGGTCATGCCCTATGCCAGTAGATGCAGCTAAAAGAAATCCTGTGACACACAGTGTTTATTATGGGCCAAGCTTGGGTCTGGATAGATTAAAATGCTTTGGTACATCTCAAAACAGCTGAACGTGATGCCATGGAACAGTGATTTGCGGCCTGTCTGACTGAGTTCGAATTCTCCCTGCATTACCACCCTGAGGAGAACAGTCAGGCAGTAGGCTCCCTGCCCAGGTTCCCTCTCATTCAATCAAAGCAATGTAGATGAAGAAGCCAAAGAAGAAGAAATCCCAGATTTGACTGTTGGCTCAAAAACTTGAAAAGGTTCTTTATAACATAACATCTTTCTTCAGCCTCTTCATGATTTTTAGTGAGCTTGAGAAGCCTATTGTGTAGGCGTCTTGGTTTTTCTTGGTAACCCTCCTTCTAGATGTCATAGACTGGTACATCCCACATACAATATGTAAGATGATTCTTGGGACTTTTTCTCATGGTGTCTGTAACTTACCTTGCTGATGTGTGCCGTTTTGCTGAAATAGAACCCTGTCTCCTGGTCCTAGGCCAAAGTCTGACATTCCCGGATCTTCTTGTTCTGCCTATGATCTATCTCTAATGAACTGTTAAACTTAGTGGGCACAAAGTTCAGTGGGATCTTTGAGACTACAATTGAACATGATGTGATATGGTAAGTGAACTGTCGCAGAATGCATTGTGTGGTTGTGTTTCCAGATCACTTAAGCCAAGTAGTGGGTCCATCTTTTTGGTTTCTTGAGGGATAGACTTTTCAGGGGTTGTATCAAGGTGCAGTTGAGTCTCTTGCGTGCCTGTATTGCCCTGTGGATGGTAAAAGGTAGTATGTGTCTTCTTGATGCCTAGAGAGTGACACCACTTCTGAAAGAACTTGCTATAAGAGCAGGGTCTCTTTTCTGGGTATATCTTCTGTGGGCAGCCATGGAGGAGGTAAAAAGGCTTCCATCTTGTTTTCATGGAAATCTTAGTGGTCTGATCGTGACTTGGTACGACTAAATCAAATTCGGTACAGTGGTCCACAATAATGAGTATGTGATGATAACCGCTTTCTGACAAGTTGAGGGTCAGAAAGTCAACAGTCAATACTTTTAATGGGGTAGATCTGAGCCAAGTCGTGGATGGTACCTGGGTGTCAGACCCTTTCAACATTTAACATAACACACAGTGCCAACAAAATTGCTCGACTAACTCGAGCACACCCTCACACATGGCTTGCCTTTGGAACCAGCAAACATCTTGTAAAGCACCCAAATGTCCTGCTTTCACATAAATTCTTTCTGCCACAGAGAGAACTCGACCCCTCAACAGCACAACCTGCCAGGTTACTGACAAACCATGGGAGAACATTATTCTGCAGTACAGTGTGCAGGGGCAGACTGACAACTCATGGGGCCCCCGGGCAATAGGGGATCATGGGGCCCCTGTGTCCTTGCCCAAACTCAAAAATGCCTATGAAAAAGGTACCAGGGGCATCTCATGGGGCCCCCTACTGACCCCGGGCCCTCGGGCAGTGCCCGAGTTTCGAAATGGTCAGTCCGCCCCTGACCTGACAGTGTGCCATCTCTCTCAATGAGGCAAGACCATTCACTTTACAGTCTGTTGGCTTCTGGCAACAACTTTGGTCTCTTTTGAAACTGAGTTACTGCACTGCCTTAATGAAGTATGGCTTTGGGTTTTATTCCCAAGTCATACTTACCCACATGACTGCTGACTGCTGGATTTTGACAGCCACTCTGAACAGAGAGCAGAGTGACTATCAGTTACTGATGTCTGCTCTAACCCCCTCCGTGCTCACTGGAGCTCTGGGCTGTGGAGGGGGGAGTGAGCGAGTGGCTTAGGCTCTCAGCAGATCATTGACAGGCAGGGGCGTCCGCAGGCAGGTACGGGGGTGACACCTACCTTTATGCTCCCCAATCTGCAGATCCGATCCATCCTGCAGGCTTTACAACTTACGTTTTCGTGGAGCGGGTTCGGTGTCACCCCATATAGGTTGGATCGGACTTTGATCCCACACCGGACCCTCTCCACAAAAAGGTAAGTTGTAAAGCAAGCTGACGATCCCCGCAGGATGGATCGGATCTGCGGATTGAGCATAATGGATTGGAGCCCGATCCATTATGCTCAATCCGCAGATCCGATCCATTCTGCGGGGATCGTCGGAGGGGGTGTCACCAAGTGTTATCGCACCGAGTGACACCAACCCTAGGGACGCCCCTGCTGACAGGCTGAGCCAGGTGCTACTACAGACTGAGCCAGGTGCTTTCCCTAGACTGGCTGAGTGATGTCGGCTGAAAACGGGTCATAGGAGTGTAGAACGAACTGCACTTCTGTAATCCACAGGAGAAGCACAGCCAAAAGAGCTTTGGCTATACTTTTCCTTTAATTAGAGAAGAAAGTACTGGCTCTTCTCTCTGGGTTTCTGTCTGATTCTACTCCTTTAGTACATGGATTAGGTTCACCTGCAGGTGAACACCTGAATCCAATGATTTAGAGGGGTGTTACAGATGTCTATGCAAATCACACCAAAAGTAGTGCAAGCACTACTTTAGAAATCGGTGCGGCTTCTACCAAGTCAGAACCGCACCAACATGACCGCTGTAATTGTGGACAATAAGGTGCGACTTGCCATGCGATAAGTCATATGGCATGCAAATCGCATGACAAGTTGCACCCAGTCTGCCCGGGGACTTAGAGTATAGTTGCAGCAACAATCGAGGGGATGATTTTTTGTTTAATTACAAGATGACGGGAGCTCCACTTTAAAAAGACTTTAGGAACTGTGCTTTTCTTGTTTTTTTTGCCTTCCTCTGAATCAACTGTGGGTATAGGATTACAACTTTTTTTTTTCTATGGTTGAACTGGATGGACTGTTGTCTTTTTTCAGCCAGACTAACTATGTAACACATTAAAAGCATTATTGCAAACAATCTGGACCCTATACAATTTGTATACCTTTATGACAGATCTCCTGAGGATGTTTACTTTGCTGGGAGAGCACAGCATGTGCTTGTTGGCAAGAAATTGTTTTCTTCCATTATTAGTAACACTGGTACTCTACAGGGTATTATACCAAGTTCCCTGCTGTATTTCCTTTTTATCTAGGATTTCAGATACAAATACAGCTCCAATTTCATCTTACAGCTTGCTGGTGATACCGCCATCGGTGGTCTAATCTGTAATAACAAGGAAGAGGTTAAATGACCGGTAAAAAAAGTGCCTGGAAAAACGGTGCAAAAAATATAACTTAATTCTCAATGTCAGCAAGACTAAAGAGTTTATGGCTGATTTTTTTTTTTAAGAGACAGTGCACGGCCGTATTCATTTTGGTTGAAAGGGTTAACAGTTTTAAGTTTCTGGTGGATACTCTAGCTGGTCATCCCAATGTAGAAACAGGAGCCAAAGGTAGGAAGGTCATGATGTCACAGGTTGCCCTGACCAGCTTTTGTAGGTGTGCTGTAGGATCTGGTCTTACTGGATGTATTACATACTGGTATAGCAAAAACTAAGTCCAAGACTGTGGAGCCTTCAATTGGGTAGTGAATACAGCACCGATGATTACTGGCACACAATTTCCAGAATTTTAGCACACTTAGGAAAGCAGTTTTTATTTTATATAATTTTCTCATCCTACTTCAGGTACAAGTAGATAATATCTGCATGAGTACATGCAAATCCAGGCAAGGAAACAATTTATATCCTACAGTTGTCAGCTTTTAAATGGAAAACGATTGTATTCTGTCACTTTACTTACTTATGATTACTTGTATGGCTCATGCACACTTTGCGTTTACAATTCTGCTCTAAAGGCCTTTTACTATTGACAGGTAAAAGCCTCTTAAAAAACACGCCTAGAGCCACGTATTATACATGCGTTTTAAGCGCATTTAGGCATGTCAAGCATTTGGGTGTTTATGGGTTCCATTGACCAGAATATTAATTTATTATGGCCATTGGCATGAATAAACGCTCAAACGCTAAAGTCGTCTAGCCTTTACTCACATTTAGATGCGTTTACATGCATTTAGGCACGTCAAACATTTTTTTCTGTTAAAAGCTCCTCTGTTGCATGCACCGGTGAGGTTTTTTTCTTTTCAGTTTGTAAATGCTTCTCTTCTAATATGCCTGTAAACACCTACGTGTGCACTGACACCTAGCATAACATAGAGGTGCTTCTACAGGCTGAAATAAATGCCAAAGACCTTTAAAGGAGGCATTTCTTTTTAAGCCCAGTGGATGAGCCCTAAAAGTAGAACTAAATTCCCCATATGTTTACCCCCTCCAGCAATGTGACATTTGCAAGCTCCCTCATTAGAGCCGAAATTCATTCCCAGCATGGCAAGAGTGTACACAGCTTAGTGTACATTTTATAGTAGTTTGCGAGTGGGCAGGTAGGAAGTACAGTAACTGAACCTCAGTAAGTATATGGACTTTGATGGGGTTTTTTTTTAAGATGTTAGGACTTGACTTAGTGACCTGCCCTCCCAGTGTTAGAATTGGATATTTCAAAAAGGGCAGTCAGCATGGTTCCTCTGAGGGCTTTTTTTCTCAGAAAATAGGTGCAGGAACTCAACCACGACCCCCACAACTTCCCCCTCCCCCGCACACACACTCTTCAAACCAAATCAAATAGTGGGTATGGTCAAATGTCACTAACAGTAGAAGGGCCTTAAAGGGGCAATGAGTACCCGAAGTGCATTACGTACAAAGTGCAGATTTCAGGGGTGCACTACATGCAGAGTTTGGGGGTGTGCTACATACACGGTGCAGAGTTCAGGGGTGCACTGCATACAGAGTGCAGAGTTCTGGGGTGCACTACACACAGAGTGCAGAGTTCAGGGGTGCACTACACACAGAGTGCAGAGTTCAGGGGTGCACTACACACACAGAGTGCAGAGTTCAGGGGTGCACTACACACAGAGTGCAGAGTTCAGGGGTGCACTACACACACAGAGTGCAGAGTTCAGGGGTGCACTACATACAGAGTGCAGAGTTCAGGGGTGCACTACACACACACAGAGTGCAGAGTTCAGGGGTGCACTACACACACAGAATGCAGAGTTCAGGGGTGCACTACATACAGAGTGCAGAGTTCAGGGGTGCACTACACACACAGAATGCGGAGCTCAGGGGTGCACTACATACAGAGTGCATAGTTCAGGGGTGCACTACATACAGAGTGCAGAGTTCAGGGGTACACTACACACAGAGTAAAGAGCTCAGCCTTCTTTCATAGCTGCTTACCTCTGCATCCCTATCTACATCTCCCTTTCACCCCCCTTCAGCTCTGACCTCTGCATGAAACCCCCCTCCACTGCCCCCCCCCCCCAAAAAAAGCTCCTCCATCTTTCACATGTCTTACTTTTGTTTATGTATTAAGCTGAAACACCCATCTGGCTAAAGTACCTGCCCCACACACTGTATGTTGCTCTGCATCTCTCACTTGCAGGTAGATCACCCAGTGGGGGTGTCAACATCCGCTCTGCACTCCGGGCAGGCACCTGAATCTCCCTTATCCCCATCTTGCACTCAGTGGGAGCTGCTCAGGAGATCAGATCTGTTGGGGGATCCACTGGGAGACAAGCTGTCACTTGTAAACACAGAAACCAGACTTCTATGTTTACAAGTGATAGTGGTCAGCAGGGAGCAGAGGGCCTGAGCCAGAGGTGGTGGAACTGAGTTCCACGAAGTCCTACCTGAAAAAAAATTATTGGTTCTTCCACAAGGCATGTAAAAAAGGTACATTGCAGATGAATCTTTGCAAATGGCCAGAAATGTCCAAGATTTTGTAGATATTAAAGTTAAATCAAATTAAAGTTGGAGTTTTCCCTTTAACATGGAATTAAGCAATAACCTCTTGTGTTGTGTTTCATTAGACATTATAGTGACTGATTGCTCCATTATTGTTATGTCACAAGGAAGAAGCACAGCCAAATGGAACATTTCTGAACAGTTGACATCACTGGCAGTATTTTATCAGCGTTCTTTTATTTCACTAATAACACAAGCTACGCACAACTTTGTTTTCTTTCTTTCTTCTCACTACAAATATTCAGCGACAGGGCTGCGAGAAGTGTTCTGCTCACGCAGTAGATGTAGAATGACTCAATAGAACTCAGGAACATTTTTTCACTGAGGATTTATGTCATATATATTTCCTGATAAATGTAAATAGCAGCTGTCGCCAGAACATGAAAATCAGTCAATGAAATGTTAATGTTATGCAGGGAATAATATTTGCAATTCACAAAGTCCAGATGAAGCCTCTTTATAGACCTGGACCTTCACATGTTATGATTTGTCACTGTTTTTCTTAGAAATAGCTTAAAATACAGTTTTAATTTAGTGAAAATACTGCTTTCTGCCCTCACACTGCAGTGCTCTGTGCTGGTAGAGCTGACTAACAGCCACACCCCTTAGGACTGGCTTCCTCACATAGACTTGCATTGCAGAAGAAGAGAGGGGGCATGTCTGACCTGGTCTGGTACTGTGTGCAGATTACTAAAGCTGGCCATGCATGGATCAAAATTC